GGGGAAGATAAGATAAACAAGAAACAGCTTTCAGGGCACACAGCATTTCTCTATTTTGTACTCACCAACACTAACTAACAGTTTACTTTAAAAATCTAAAATGCTGCATATTTGGTTGGAACTATTAAACATAAAAGTGCCTGTTGTAAGAAATGGGCAGGGTCCAAAAAAATCTATCTATTGATCCATTGGAGTATCTATCAATTTGTCTGTCTGCATGTATTTTTTTCTTTCTATCTATCTGTCTATCTATTAGAAAGGTTTCGATCTATTTATTCTTGTGTGAATGTCAATCAATCTGTCACTGCACTTTTTTTTTTCTTTCTTGTTTTTTATCTGTGCATCTTTTTTTTTTTCTATCCTGTATGAGTGTCTGTCTTTCAATCTGTCTCTGTCTACCCATATTTCTTTCTATCTATCAAGTATGAGTGTCTATCAATCTGTCTCTTGTCTGCCTGTTTGTCTGTCTGTCTATGCATCTATCAGTCTTTCTATCTATCTTTCCTGTATGAGTGTCTATCAATCTGTCTCTTTTCTGTCGGTCGGTCTGTCTGTCTGTCTGTCTGTCTGTCTGTCTGTCTGTCTGTCTATGAGTCTATCAGTTTTTCTATCTATCTACTCCTGTATGAGTGTCTATCAATCTGTCTCTTGTCTGTCTGTCTGTTTGTCTAACAAGCTATTTACATTTTGTGTTGTTTTTCTCCCCACTCCTACCATCACCCTACTCCCCGACCCTTGACCCTTGACCTCCCACACTTGACCTTCCCCCACGGTCAGCGCATGCACCCAACTGGCGTGGTGGAGCAATCTGCGGCCATCCACTGTGCCTCGTCCAACGGTCAGTCCTACCTGGCCACCCTCAACGCCCTGATGACCGCGCCGGACATCAACCTCAATCTGGTCAACTCGGAAGGTGGGTGCCGTGCGCACAGGGGAGGGAGGATGTGTTGGTGTGTGGGGGGGGGTGTCTGATAGACAGGGTCAGAAGCCCGCCTCGTAAATTATCTACATTGTGTCGATGGGGACTTTAAAAACACCCACATTTAAGAGGGGGTTGAGGGGGGGGGGGAACATGCCTGTTTTGGTGTGTTGTTATTGTGTATTGTGTTTCTCTGTAGCACATCCCAAACCTTGTCATGTATGGTGTGTTATTATTGTGTTTCAGGTGTGTTTTTTTTGGGTGTTTAAGTTGTGTTTCTTTTGTGTTTATGGTGTGTTTGTTTTTAATTGTGTCTCAGGTGGGCTATTATTGTTTTTCTGTGTAACTCACTCCACACATTGTCGTTTACGGTGTGTCATTATTGTGTATCAGATGCGTTATTATTGTGTTTATTGTGTGTCATCATTATCGTATTTCTGTGTAACTCACCCCCACCCACACGTCGCGATAGGTGGGTGGTTGGTGGGTGCTCTGGTTTGGTTTGCTTCTTCTTTCCTATCAAACATCCGTCATCGTTATCTCCCCTCCTTCTCTTTTTGTGTTTGTTTACTCTCTTGTAACACCTCTTATCTTCTGTGCTTATATGACCTTTTTGTGTTGCAGGTGCCGTAAAACACTTACTAAAACAAAACACATTGTCATTTAGTAAATTTACGGTGTGTTATAATCATGTTTCTGCGTAACTCACCCAACACATTGCCATTTACGTCTTTATCTCCCCTCCTTCTTTTTTGTGTTTGTTACTCCCTCGTAACACGTCCAATCTACGGCGCTCGTATGACCTTATTGTACCGTTAAACTCGGACTCTTTAAAAAAATAAGTAAATAAAATACTTACGAAAACAAAATTATTGTATGTCATCATTATCGTGTTTATGTGTAACTCACCTCCCCCTCACACGTGTCGCTATCTGTGTGGCGTCGGTGGCCTAGTGGTTAGGCTCTCAGACTCGCAACCGTAAGGTCGTGGGTTTGAATCCTGTCAGGGGCCCGACGTTGTTTCCTTGGGAAAGGCACTTTACACGAACTTTCGTCACTTCACCCAGGTGGGAGTGGGTACCTGGCTAGAAACAGCGAAAGATCTTGTCGGTTTGTTAGTGTTTGAGCGCTTAATCAGCTGCTTGCACTGTATGCTTCTCGGGAAGCTGAGAATGTTTCAGAGTGCTCTATGGTCTGCTGGGGTAATAATATAGTCTAAAGCGCATAGAGCCTGCTGCTGAGCGGGGATAATCGCTATACAAATGCTATTTATTATTTATTATTATTATCTCCCCACAGGTCACACAGGCCTGCACTGCGCCATTCTGTCCCATGGGAAGTGCACGCCGAGCGGGGTCATCGACAGTGTGCCCATCATCCAGGCACTGATAAACGCGGGGGCAGACCCAAATCTGCAGGTGAGTGAGTGGGTGAGTGAGTGAGTGAGTGAGTGGGTGAGTGAGTGGGTGGGTGGGTGAGTGAGTGAGTGGGTGGGTGGGTGAGTGAGGGAGTGAGTGCGCGCCGAGCGGGGTCATTGACAGTGTGCCCATCATCCAGGCGCTGATCAACGCGGGGGCAGACCCGAATCTGCAGGTGAGTGGGTGAGTGAGTGAAAGGGTGAGTTGGTGGGTGAGTGAGTGGGTGAGTGAATGAGTGAGTGAGTGGGTGGGTGGGTGAGTGAGGGAGTGAGTACATGCCGAGCGGGGTCATTGACAGTGTGCCCATCATCCAGGCGCTGATCAACATGGGCGCCGACCTGAATCTGCAGGTGAGTTAGTGGGGTGGGTGAGTGGGTGAGTTACTGAGTGGTTGAGTGAGTGAGTGAGTGCACGCCAAGCTGCTGTTGTTGTTGGTGGTCGTGTTGTTGCTGTTTTGTAGGTGCTTTGCTGCTGGATGGTGGTGATGTTGTTCTTTGTGGTGTTGTTGTTGTTGTTTTGCTGTTGTTGTTGTTGGTGATGGTGGTGGTGTTGTTGTTGTCAGTGGTGGTGTTGTTGTTGTTTTGCTGCTGTTATACTGGTGTTGTTTTGCTGTTGCATATTGTGTTAATGAATGTGGTTGGCAGGTGCTCTGGTGTGGTTTGCTCCTTCTTTCGTATCAAACATCTGTTGTCCTCGTCTCTCCTCCTTTTATTTGTATGTTACTCTCTAGTAACACTTTTAATCTTCTAACCTTGAAACTATAAACTGACTCGTCTTACTTCTCAGGTTCAGAAGAATGGCAAGACGGCCTTGATGTATGCCCTGGAGTCAGGTGACCTTGACCTCATTGAGCGTACCTTCCAGCTGGTGGACCCACTTAAACTGCCGGGCTTCTTGAAAACACAGGTCAGTCGATGTTGCTGCTGAAGTCACAGCCAAACTGGACGACACAGGGTTCCTGTTGCCTCCTTGAATTCAAGGAGTCCTTGAAAACTCTTTGAATTTGCTTTCAAGGAGAGATCTCCTTGACTTTCGGCGAATCGGACATGAACATTTTTGTCGGAAAATCGAAACTACGATTCCTTTCGGACAAGTGTAGGCCTATTGGAAATAGGCTTTCGACATGAATGTCTTGACCAAATCTCCTTGGATTAAAAAAATTTCTCTTTGAAACCTCCTTGAATTTGGTGGGGAGATCGTGGCGGGAACCCTGAATGACAATAAATTATAGTACACCTTTATAAATGAACTAGTTATAGGCTACATACTGTGGAAAAATTCATCTTTGCTTAGATGCACGCACAGAAGAAATGACACACATAGACACATTCAGACTTGTTCACGCTTGCACACATACACACTCTCACACGCATGTACATACGCACGCACGCTTCTACACACACATGCACACAACACACAAATAACGCACGCGTAAACTTATTCATGTTTACATATGCACGCATACGCGCACACACACACACGCACATTCATACTCTCTCTCTCTCTCTCTCTCTCTCTCTCTCTCT